GTTATTGTTGTTGTTGTGATTTATTAGAGTAACATGTGGAACTGTTGCTGTTGTTGTTGTTGTTGTTGTGATTTATTAGAGTAACATGTGGAACTGTTGCTGTTGTTGTTGTTGTTGTGATTTATTAGAGGAACATGTGGAACTGTTGTTGTTGTGATTTATTAGAGTAACATGTGGATCTGTTGTTGTTGTCGTGATTTATTAGAGTAACAAGTGGAACTGTTGTTGTTGTCGTGATTTATTAGAGTAACAAGTGGAACTGTTGTTGTCGTGATTTATTAGAGTAACAAGTGGAACTGTTGTTGTCGTGATTTATTAGAGTAACAAGTGGAACTGTTGTTGTCGTGATTTATTAGAGTAACAAGTGGAACTGTTGTTGTTTTTGTGATTTATTAGAGTAACAAGTGGAACTGTTGTTGTCGTGATTTATTAGAGTAACAAGTGGAACTGTTGTTGTTGTCGTGATTTATTAGAGTAACAAGTGGAACTGTTGTTGTTAGGGTCTTTAAATCTCTATCTACTCGTACGGCCGGACTTGATGGAAGGGATGGTTTGAACTTCCTTCTCCTCTCCCTCTTCTTTGCTCCTGCTCTGCTTCCATGGAGCCTCCTTTTGAACTCATTTGGGATTTGGGACTGTAGTTGAGATATTAATTTAGCTTTTGAGATGTTAATCAGCTGCTCCTTGTTGTAAAAACCATCTTGTTGTCATGGTTACGCATCATAACAAATGTGTAAATGTAAAAAGGTTTCAGTAAAAATCCTTCCAGCTGCACAGCATCTGATACCACAGGAAACAATCAAACAACAAAAGAGATTTACATCCAGAAAAGAGGAATTAAAGTTCTTGAAAGCAATATCTCAGAATGAAGAACAGAGCTGCTCCAACATGCAGCCACCTGGAGCGGAGCCATTCTAGAATTTTAAAAGGTCTTCAGCTGCAAAGAAAATATTCTTTATAAAATGTTTGATTAAAAAGAAGGTTTGAAAGAAATTGGCCTGACTTCAAATGATTGATGTTGGTGGTAGTTTGCTTCCTTGTCCTGTCTAACAACAGTTTGTCTCTCCTCCCCCTACAGTTAGGCCCCTCCCCCTGTCTCCATTGGAAGCTCAGTCGTCTGCTCCGCTGAGTGGAGCTGGTGAGCGGCAGGCCTTAGAGCTGAGGGTCCAGGCAGTGGAGGAGGAGAACCGGGCGCTGCGCCAGGAGCTCAGTCGGCCACCCAAAAATAAGTTTGCACGCTTTCCAGATGACGCCCGCCGTGGGAACCAGAACCGGACTTACTCAGAGGAAGGCACCGGGGACAACGAAGGTCAGAGGAAGGCTGCAGTGGCAAACAGCTCGGACTGTGTGCAGCAGCCGGTGGTGGACAAGTGCGAGGTGAGACATGATGTCACCCATCTACAGCAGGGCTTTTCAAAGTACACCTTCCCTGGTCAGAGTTCTTGAGGTGGGGGGCTCGATGTCATGCTACGTCCACACCGCAGCTCGTAATGTTGAGTTCCAATCTTTTGCTCAGATCCGATTTTTTTTTGTGGTCATTCACGTCACGATTGAAATGTGACGTCAGAGTCCAGATGTGAGACACAGACGATGTGACGTCACACGAGCACGCTGTTTGACAAGTAACTATGGAGGCTGCACACGTCGCGCATGTGTGATTGTCAAGTTGTTGTGCAATCAGAACTGATGATATTCTTATCTGACACGTTGGTTGTCGCAGTGCTTACTCTGGCGCAGCACTGTATTTTTGGAATGGGACAGACTGTCCATCCATCCATCCATCCATCTTCTTCCTCTTATCCGGGGTCGGGTCGCGGGGGTAGCAGCCTAAGTAGGGAGGCCCAGACTTCCCTCTCCCCAGCCACTTGGGGCCAGCTCTTCCGGGGGAATCCCGAGGCGTTCCCAGGCCAGCCGAGAAACATAGTCCCTCCAGCGTGTCCTGGGTCTTCCTCTGGGCCTCCTCCCAGTGGGACGTGTCCGGAACACCTCACCAGGGAGGCGTCCAGAAGGCATCCAAAACAGATGCCCAAGCCACCTCAACTGGCTCCTCTTGACGTGGAGAAGCAGCGGCTCTACTCTGAGTCCCTCCCGGATGATCAAGCTTCTCACCCTGTCTCTAAGGGAGAGCCCAGACACCCCGCGGAGAAAACGCATTTCGGCCGCTTGTATCCGAGATCTCATTCTTTCGGTCACAACCCAAAGCTCATGACCATAGATGAGGGTGGGAACGTAGATCGATATGTAAATTGAGAGCTTCACCTTTTGACTCAGCTCTCTCTTCACCACGACAGACTTGTACAGCGCCCGCTTCACTGCAGACGCTGCACCTATCCACCTATCGATCTCACGCTCCATTTTTCCCTCATTCGTGAACAAGACCCCAAGATACTTGAACTCCTCCACTTGGGGTAGGACCTCCTCCCTGACCCGGAGAGGGCACTCTACACTTTTCCGGCTCAAGACCATGGCCTCGGATTTTGAGGAACTGATCTTCATCCCGGCCGTGTCGCATTAGGCTGCGAACCGCTCCAGCGAAAGCTGTAGATCATGATCTGATGAAGCCAATAAGACCACATCATCTGCAAAAAGCAGAGACGCAATCCTAAGGCCACCAAAACGGATCCCCTCAACACCTTGGCTGCGCCTAGAAATTCTGTCCATAAAAGTTATGAACAGAATCGGTGACAAAGGGCAACCTTGGCAGAGTCCAACTCTCACCGGGAACAAGCCCGACTTACTGCCGGCGATGCGGACCAGGCTCTGACACCGGTCATACAGGGACCTAACAGCCCGTATCAAAGGGCCCGGTACCCCATACTCCCAGAGTACCCCCCCACAGGGTTCCCCGAGGGACGTGGTCGAACGCCTTCTCCAAGTCCACAAAGCATATGTAGACTGGTTGGGCAAACTCCCACGCACCCTCCAGGACCCTGCTGAGAGTGTAGAGCTGGTCCAGTGTTCCACGGCCAGGACCAAAACCGCACTGCTCCTCCTGAATCCGAGGTTTACTATCCGACAGACTCTCCTCTCCTCTTGTTTTGCACAAGCAATTAAAAAAATGTGTGTTGTTTTGTGCACAGCTTGAAAACCTGACAGCTGATGTTATTCAAAATACATGACCATGGATGGATTCAGCCAAGCTAGCTTGTCAAAGCTGGTTTTGGTATGTGGTTACTGGTTACCACAGGCATGACAAGTGGAAAGTATCAGGTGTGGACAGCTGTCAGATATTTACATTTCTGATGTATCACTGCTGTGAGTGAGTGAAGAAACTGAGCAGAAGCAGCTGATCGGATGTTACTGCCATGAACGAATGATCAAACCATCTGCTGGACAGGTCTGACTAAAACAGAAGTTCTGCTTTCTTCACAGTTTCTCAGCGCTGTATGTTGTTTTTACCATATCTTGACCTTCAAAATAAATTCTCTCACATCGTTTGTTGTCTCCACAGACCATCAACGTGGCCATCGTGTGTGCAGGTTACAATGCAAGTCGAGACGTGGTGACACTGGTCAAATCTGTCCTCTTTCACAGGTACGCCAACGCCTTTCTACACTTGTTGCTGTTCTTAAACAACCCTGATTCTCAGGTTTCATAAACGGCAATAATGGTAACATTTTTATGACTGACACACGCATAGTCCATGTCTCCTTGTAAGGACACTTACATAGTCCATGTATCCTTGTAAGGACACTTACATAGTCCATGTATCCTTGAAAGGACACTTACATAGTCCATGTATCCTGAAAAGGACACTTACATAGTCCATGTATCCTTGTAAGGACACTTACTTAGTCCATGTATCCTTGTAAGGACACTTACATAGTCCATGTATCCTTGTAAGGACACTTACATAGTCCATGTATCCTTGTAAGGACACTTACATAGTCCATGTATCCTTGTAAAGATCCTTGTAAGGACACTTACATAGTCCATGTATCCTTGTAAGGACACATGCATAGTCCATGTATCCTTGTAAGGACACTTACATAGTCCATGTATCCTTGTAAGGACACTTACAAAGTCCATGTATCCTTGTAAGGACACTTACAAAGTCCATGTATCCTTGTAAGGACACTTACATAGTCCATGTATCCTTGTAAAGATCCTTGTAAGGACACTTGCATAGTCCATGTATCCTTGTAAGGACACTTACATAGTCCATGTATCC